GTCCATGGGGGGTGGGGGGGCAGAAGGAACCAGGACCCACCAGTAACACCAAACCCAGCACAACCCCATGGGGCCCCCCCCCACGGGGGGGGCTTTATATAGAGGCGAGGGGGCGGGGCAAGGCTGCAGAGGCTGCTGGGAGGGGGGTGGGGGTGGGGTCTCACCTGGGTATTTAAGAGGCAGCTGCCTGCCCTGGGGCAGATACCTTCCCCCAAAAAAAGGGACCCAGGGTGGGGCATGCCTGGGGTCCCCCTGAGAAATGGGGGGCCCTTAAAGGGTTAATTGGGGGGCTATGCCCTCCCCCAAATCTCATGTTCTGTCTCATGGGGTGGGGGGTGCTGGGATCCCCTTAGCTCTGCCCTTCCCCACTGCTGCCTGGCTGGGACCCCCCCGTACCCGGGGGGGGGGGGTTTTGGGGCTCCCCCTGCTCCCACCTGGCACAGGGGCTGTACAAGGCCACCTGCACACCCCTCTGCTGTCCTGGGGGGGGGAAAGCCCTGACACCCCCTCCCCACCCCTTGCATAAACCAGACCCTCACCCCGCTATTTTTGGGTGAGCGACCGTCCCCCTCCAGACCAGGCTCCTGGGGGGGAAACTGAGGCACATGGAGAGGGTGGCAGTGGGGCCATCCCCTCCCCCCCCCGGTACATCCCAGCTGTCCCCCAGCCCCCCCCCCCCCGGGGGGGCCAGTGAGCCCACGGGGCCGCCTGTGCCGGGTGACCTTGGGCCACGGCTCTGCACTGCCCGTGCCTCAGTTTCCCCACCCGGTGGTCCTGGGGAGGGGGAATGGAGCTGGGAATTGGGGGGGGCAAGGGAGCTCAGACTCCCCAGGACATCAAGACATCCCCCCCAGGGCCTCCCGGTGTAGGGCTGGGGAGGGGGGCACAACCCAAGGCCGGCCACCCCTGGGGGGTCCTTGGGGCTGAAGGGAGGGGGTGTCCCCAAAGGGGTGTCCCCAAAATCACCTCCTGTCTCGCCCCGGGGGTGTCAGTACCGGAGCCCCTCGGCGGTGTCGGCTGCCGAGAGCTGCCCCCGCGGCCAGCCCTGTGTCCTCCATCCCTCCCGCTCACATCCTCCATCCCGCATCCCTCCATCCCGCATCCCTCCATCCCTCCCGCTCACATCCTCCATCCCACATCCCTCCATCCCTCCGTCCTCCATCCCGCATCCTTCCGTCCTGTCTCCCTGCGGCCTCCCCTCGGCCTCACCTGCCTCCGATCCCTCCGGCATTCCGTTTTCCTTCTCCAATCCCCCCAACCCTTCGGTTTTCACCGATTCTCCGGGCATGGCGATGCCAGAGCCCGGCCGGCCGGCCTGGGTGGCCGCCTGCCACCCCGCTCGGCCGCCGGCACCTTTGGCTTGGGCTGGACGAAGGCGGCTGTGCTGGGAGAGAAGCGGAGCATTAGTGGGGCTCGGGCGGGGGGGCCGGGGTCGCAGCTAGCCCCCTCGGGCTGCGGGCGAGCCTCCTCCTTGGCGGGCATCGGCGGGGGGGTCGGGGCGCGGGGGGGGGGCTG